GATTTGCCATGAAATTCTACACAGAGGAAGGCAACTGGGACATGGTAAGCATTATGATAGTATAGTTTGTCTGCGTTTAAACTGTGAAACAAATGCTGTCAATAACGAAGGGGATGCTCAATGGATTTGGCCGGACTGCGCGGCGTACGCGGCGGAGCAAAATAAGCAGCATACTCCCCATATCTGTATACGCGTGCGTACGCGGCGCAATCTGGCCGATCCCTATGAAATGATGTAAGCTGCCTATGATACGTCTCAGCAGGTAGTGGCATTAAATACGCTCGCGCCCTCTTCGCTAAAACGCTCCGCTTTCTTTTGAGACATCTTATTCTGTAGACGTTTTGATAAGTACAGACGAAGAAGCGGCTCCTATGATCATGTTCATCTATTATGAAAATTGACAATATCGCGAAATAAAATAAATAAACAATATATAATAAACAACAATACTCGTGAGATAAAATATCGTGCTATCAATTTGAAAAATCACTTTTCTCTCATTTGTGGTCATTACAGGTTGCCAACAACACTCCAATTTTCTTCGTTCGTGATCCATTCGATTTTCCAAATTTCATTCATGCTTTGAAGAGAAATCCGCAAACTCATCTGAGGGACATGAATGCTTTGTTTGATTTCTTAGGCAATCATCCGGAAAGCACCCATCAGGTGTTTATCTCATATTTCATTCGCAATTATGAGCATATCTCAGTTAATCTAGACGCTGTTCCTGATGTCTGATCGAGGAACTCCTGACGGATACCGTCATATGCATGGGTACGGCTCGCATACATTCAAGTTGATCAATGCTGCAGATGAAGCAATTTGGTGCAAATTCCACTTCCTGGTAAACATTTGTGCTTAACTATCCCGCCAATGTTTAATTGTGTCACAGACTGACAACATCAAGAATCTTATGGCAGATGAAGCCAGACGTTTAGTAGGAGAAGATCCTGATTATGCTATTCGTGACTTGTACAACGCCATTGACAAAGGGAATTACCCCGAATGGACCATGTACATCCAGGTACAATGCTAACGCTAAGATTCAGGGTACACAGGCAGAACAACCGTACTTTTCTAGGTGATGACACTGGAGCAGGCTGATAACTGGGAAATGAATCCGTTTGATCTCACGAAGATTTGGCCGCATGCGGATTTTCCAATGATACCCGTTGGCAAGTTAGTCTTGAACCGAAACGTGGAAAACTACTTCGCCGAGGTTTGTGTACATTTTTTTATCTAGGGCAGATAGCATAGGCAAAATCAAAATGTAATTCGGCATATTGTCGAAGACCGCGTTCTTTTTCTCCTTCTCAAAAGGGGGCTTCGGTACACTTTTGGAAAACGCAAAATTCCGGCCACCGAATACAAGAGAACATATTTGGTGACAATGGCAAGTACTCCTTCACTGAGAACGGACCAATTGAGGTTTTAGTTGCCTCATAGGCAAGGGAAGTGATTGTCCCTAAATTTACGAAATAGTGCTAAACTGAAATTTATAGAGTTATTCGTAATTATTCCAGGTTGAGCAAGCAGCCTTTGCTCCATCCCATCTTGTTCCGGGAATTGGTTTCTCCCCGGATAAGATGCTGCAAGGACGCATAATTTCTTACCCAGATACCCAGTATCATCGACTTGGTCCCAATTACAAACAAATCCCAATCAATTGCCCATATCGTGCTCGTCCCCAAAACACACAGCGTGATGGTCTCATGACTATTGATAGTCAAGGTAAGTGCATATGAC